TCAAAGTTTAAGGTATCAATACTCTCACACTGGGGAAATATATATCTATATACAAAATATACAACTTAAAAACTCATAAAACACCAACCTCTGTAAATGTTGACATTTTTCCTGATGACCTCATCTTCTTCAAGATCTTCAAGAAAATCTTGGTACTGCCTGTAAGGATAAAAAAGCATTTATAAATGTTTCATTTTTCTTGGCAAAGTATGAGTTTCCTTCATTTTCAACACTATAAATCATATGTTGCAAATAATAAAATTCTTAAAGAAAACATCTGAAACTCAAATATGGAATTTGAATAGTTTATAAAATTTTTTTTCTTTCAAAATTATACCCACAAAAAATATACAACTGAGTATAAGATGATACTAAATATGAGAATTATGAAGAGACTGCCACCTAATATTTTATCCTTCCCCCCGTTTGATGGAAAAGTTGAAATATATATTTGTAAATTATAAATGAGGGGCCTTCCCTGGTTGCACAAAAGTTTAAAACACAGCACTATGAAGCTCTCTGCAGCCACTGCTGCAGTACCAAGTTAGATCTCCAGCCAGGGAGGTGGCCCACAAGGTATGGTAGACCTCTCCTAGCCTGCCCACTGCTCCCCTCGGTAGTATATTTCAGTCAAACTGCCTGTTTTGCTCCCCACTCTGTTTCTGGTGAATCCTCTCACTCACTGCACCTCTGAACTGTACCCCATGTCTTGTATGCATGAATAACTCTTTTGAAAAAATAAAATTATAAATGAAATAGTCAAATAGGTACTCACAATGACTAGTATATTTATACATCTTTAAATTACATTATGAAACTATATTTTGGAAACACAAACTTTTCCATTCACATTTTATGACCATTTTATTCAAACTTATCATATTTTAGAGACCAGTCTTGACCATGAAGACCACTGTTCAAGTCATCCACAGCCCACTGCCTAAAACACAATTTACCTTCATTTTTCCTTAGGCTGTTTGAAAAAATAGGAAATTAACTTTTTTCTTTTTATCCCGTCTTGCTACCTAATATATTCACAAATAATTTTCAAATAAATTGTTTACACAATTGTAAATTCATAACCTAAGATATTACATTTATATATATACTGATTTAATCAACACACTGATAAGAAACCAAACTTAATATATTGTAAGGATTATGGGATAACAACTTCTTTACATTATAAAACTATTAAATATTCATCAAAAAGATTTTTTTGAGATAACATAAAAGATTTTCTAAAAATTGGAACCTTTCATTGTCTTCATTCATGTTTTCTTTATCTCTCACGAGCTCTTTCAGTTTCCAATTTCTACGATGCTGACGTTTGGTACGGTCATAACACTTCTTGACTAATATCTACAAGAGAAGTATGTCCTAAGTCACAAAAAAAGTTGTAAATTAGGTAACAGGGTTCAAAAACAATGAAGTTTAAAAAATCAAAGGTTATGGGAATGCCAGGAAGTAACCTTTCTTAGCTGAAATTTTAAAGTGACTGAGGATTATACTTCTTTTTAATACCCAAAACTTCAAATTCTGGGTTCTTGTTTTTA